TTTTTTAATAAACCCTTTTTCATTCGACATACTTTATCTTAATCGAGATATTAAGGAACCAGCAAATCAAGTAGCTTTTGGAATAAAACACCAATTTTTTTAAAATTAAACACTATCTAAAGATTTGCATCGAAGCGTTTATTTTTGATAGTGATTTTAATCACTGTCATATATCATTATACTAGATCCAACTATACCACGTCACAACTGTGCCGCGACCCCCCTGTGCTGGGTTTTTTATATCATAGGTATATTTTAAAATAAAGAGTCATTATTATAATGTTAGTCGTTTGATTAACCATAAAATAATAAAAATATTGAAATTTTATTTGTGATTTTTGTTAGTATCGTATACTTCTTGATTTATCAACCATTAGTATTTAAAATTAAAAAAACAGTTGTCTAACCAAATAGTTTTTTTTTTTCATGTCTTTGTAAAATAAAAAACCCAGCACAGGGGGGTCGCGGCACAGTGGTGACGTGGCATAGTTGGATCACGTAAATGATATCTGACAGTGATTAAAATCACTATCAAAAATAAACGCTTCGATGCAAATCTTTAGANAAATCGTGTATTTATATATAAGGAACAATTTTAAGTGCAAAACACATATTGACATCCTGATCAAAAAATACTCCCTTACATAGTTTAATACTTTTATCACCTAGTCGATTGTCATAATTTATCAGTTTACATAAGTATAATTATAAATTTTGCTAATTGCAATTAATTAAATAATTATTATTTTCAAACACTTGTATTGATTTCCTTATGTTGTATTCTTTGTAATTATTTACGTTTTTAATTAATTTTATGGTTTAAACAGAGTGATTATGTGTCAATAATTTACTATGTATAATTGAAAATAACCACAGAAAAAAATGACTGCTTGATAATTACTTTCGACCAATTATAAAGGAAGTTTTTAAGATTCTAAAATATAGACTGAGAATGAGATTTATTATCATAAGACATCTTTCATAAGTTTTGGTAGCCATTTACATATTGAAGTAGTCAAGACAATATTTTTTAACTTATACAATGTAACATAAGTGTTAAATTAATGTATGTTTGAAATTCAAAGATTTCCAGAACATTTTAACTGTCCCCGTGGGCAGATTAATTGTCAGATTTTCGAAAATTTTATACCAAATGAAAGAAAATCACTTGATGTCTTTTTAAAAATTTATGACAATTTTAGATAAAAATATCGAAATGTATTGGTTTTAAAAATTGTAATTTTCGAAGGAATGAGAACATTTTTTGAGGATAATGTCTTTAGCTAAAAACGATAAGTGGTCCTTGACGTGTTGTTGAACAAAATCGGTCTGGTAAATACTAAAAAAAAAATGGAAAACAGACATACTAAAGAAAAATCAATCGATAATTTGATGATTAGGTTGAAACTTGTAGTGATAATTGGCCCCAAGTATAATGATCAACTATGGTTGATTTTACATGTTTTTTTCCACAAAAAAAAAAGTTAACTCACCATGGTAAATTTAATACCATTTCAGATTCATATCGAAGCTGAAATAACGAGTGTCAGAGAATAAAAATGTTGAGTAGAATGTTGTTGATATTGTATATTTTGATAAACTGTAAGAACTGGGATTTAATAGGAAAAATGTATTTTTTTAGAGGAGGGTAGTCTAGCGATCTCTAGCGTAATCTTGAAAGCTGAGAATTTTGACTCGATTTTGTTATTTCTAATGGGAGCCCTGAAGGTTTATTTATTTAAGGTAGACGTATATTTTAAATCAGTACAATTGTTATATTTTGTCCCATAGTTAGCTTGTATTTTGTTTTCTGAAGAAGGAACCCTGTTTTGGAAATCTTCAACATTAATATACGTGATATACTTCTACAAAGGATAACATCATATTATATACTAAATGCTAACATAATATTACAGTTAGTGTTATTAGAAAACATCATTAATATAATATTGTATTAAAATTTTTAAAAAAATTTTACAATACATTTGTTTTCTACTATTATTAACCTTACATATTCTTGAAAAATAAATTCGATACAGGTCAACTAACTTAATAGTTATGGTAAATTTTTGAAAACCTGAAATCATTTCAATTCCTAGCCTTGATTAAAAGTGTGTATAACGTGAAGTTGTAAGAAAAAATTAGAGAAAACCTAAAAAGTTCCTTCAGTTAGTAATACTGAATTAGAATTCTTTTATAACAAATATATGAAAAAATACATATGATACTATTAACAAAATCCCCCCCCCCCAAAAAAAATGTCTAAAAACTTAGTATTTTAGGAAAAGTTGAGTGGCTAAAGTTAAGAGAATGACTCTGTATATGTAATTTTACATTTGCTAGGTTTTAAAATTCAATTCAAGTATCAAGTCGAATATTCATCATTATATTCCATGGTATAATGATGTTTACTATATTTATAAAAATTATGGCTATCTCTTATTATTTTATTTAAAATTTTTCTAAACCTTGAAAATATTCCGGAAGTATGCCAAACTTCAAACATATGTTAAATAAAATAGTATGTTACATACTAACAAAGAAAATTGTCTACTTTATGTAAACAGCCCTCGAAGTGAAGTGTCAAATATAAAGTTAAATTAGAGTTTATGATACTAATTATGATAAGTCAAAAAAACTTTTTTTCCAACGATTTGTCTTCTATATGTAAACGGCACCAGAAGATAAACACAAAATGTTATTTTGGTGTAAAAAATTACCGTTATTGATGTTGTTATAATTTTCGATTTCAATTTTTTTCAATTATTTTTGCCTATATTTTATATTAAATGCTATAGTCATACAAGAGGAGTCAATACTTCTTCCATTAAACCTCATTTCTTACAAAAAAAAAATTAAATATTAATTAAAAAAATTTCCAGCTTTTAGCATGTATTAAAAAAAAAAAGAGCTGGTCTTTCAAAAAAAATTGTCCTAGTTCTCAGTGGTTTATGATACGTAAGGCGATTATTATAAATAAAATTTTGAAATCCATTTAACAAACCTTAGAAAATTGTTACATTTGGTAAAAAAATAATTTGTACAAATTTTCGTCAAAATTGAGTGACGTTAATACGTGCTGCAAGAAAATTCAAAACTATATTATTTATAGAAAAAAATATATTTATTTATAGCTAAAGGTTTGAATTTGTTGACGTCATGATTATATAATATTTATTCAATAGTATCATTTAAAATGTAACAATTATTTGACATTAAAAAAATATATCTATGCTATCTCGGGATAAATTACAATAACAATTTCATTACGGAAATAATAATTAACTAATATTACAATACAACATATTGAATATCAATTTCATACTAAATTTAATTTCTATAATATATAGAGAAAAATGTAATAAAATGAAATATGTATCTGTTGAATCGAAGCGTTTCTTATGATACGGATTTTAATCACTGTCATATATCATCATTAGTTATCATATAATTTAGATTTCCCGCTTAATTTTTATAATATATAAAATAATAATAACATAAAATAAATTGGTAATCTATATAAATCGATTTATTTATACATTAATTCTTATTTGAAATTATTCAGTCTGAAAATTCGGTGGGTAAACCTTAACACAGTCCTTTATATTTCGTGGCATGCTTAATATATCGATACTTTCTCTCTCTTATTAGTCGCCTTTTGACTTAGCAAGTTCAGCCTGATTAAAGTACATCCGTTTATAGTCTATCTACTAGCCGCCGTCGATCATCGAGTGCTAGTAGTGAAATCTCTCTCTGTTTTTTGTTGGCTTACATGCACTTATGTATGTCCTGATACACCGTTTTTAACTTACTATTCTTTTTTGTTTATTTCGCCTTCTTTTCAAATTTATCCAAATAAAATTTAACTTTATTTTCAATAAATATACTCGTTGTGAGATTTACTAATAATATATTTGTAATAATCTGTTGCGTAGATAATATTTAATTAAAACTGTCGAACCGGCACGTGCTGTTTTTATACTTAAGGTGTCAACGTTATCTACACTTTTTACTAAAATGAGGGTTTTCATTAAAATTATGTAAAATATTGTTGCGTATTTTTTTTT